AGTCTCTACTGTGAGTCTAGTGTTGAACCGTTGTACATAAGAAGAACGAAAATGATATTGACCTACACCCTCGTAATCAGAGTAAATCACCAGCACAGAAACTACGTTATGCTTACCGAGATCGATAATAGCTATCAGCAAAAACCAACAATTACAAGACCTCTTTGTATCAGAGCAAATGAAATTGAACAAGAAACTAATATGTCAGCATGCTCGGTATATCCTGATACTATCAGATCAGAGAAACACCTCCCTGGTTATATCCAAGTATAAACATCCGTCTCGACCTCACTGTGTGGGCTAAGCAAAACCACCTACCTGCAGAAATGAAAAGAAGGCTATTCGAAATTTTGGCAGAGCTTTCCCCGGATGTAACATTCTATACGGATGGATCACGAACTGAATATGGTGTTGGGTGTTCTATTGCAATAGGGAAAATAGCATACGCGTGGTCATTATCTCCAAAAGCATCGATTTTTACTGCAGAACAATATGCCATTTGGCAAGCTTTGCGATACTGTGAAATAAATCCAAATCTCCAATCAGTTGTAATAGCTAGTGACTCCTTAAGCTCTTTGACAAGCCTGCAGAATCTTGCTTCGGCGGATATTTTAACTAAAATGTGTCAAGAAACGGTTATTGCAATTGCAGACAATGGCACTGTGGTGACGTTTGTATGGATACCGGCACATGTAGGAATTTTAGGAAATGAAGTTGCAGATCGGGCCGCAAAAAGAGCAGCCTCGGAAATAGAAATAGATGTTCTGAAATTAAAAAAAGTGATCAAAAAGTGTACATATTGCAACGCATGAAAGAACTGTGGCAACAATCATGGCAAGAAAACAATACCTTTTTAACTCAAATTAAGCCCAGTGTTGTAACAACATCACCAGCGTTAAACTTACCACGTCAAGAAAGTGTGCGTCTCCACCGGCTTAGAATGGGACATACTGCAATTACACATACTTACCTTTTAAAAGGCGAGAACCCTCCACTGTGTGATTTATGTAATAATGCCATGTCTGTAGAACACATATTATGTAACTGTCCAGCCCAAACCGTGCAACGTAACTTATGTGACGTACCACAAAATCTGGAGAATTGTCTCACAGACGTCCAAGGGATCAAGAGTACTTTACTATACTTAAAGCAGTCGAGTTATTTTACTAAAAAAAAAAAAGATAGTTATAGGACATTTACATGAAACGTGTCTAGAATTTTTGTAGCGGATCCGAAAATGCAATTGCGGGTATTTCTATTTAAGGATACTTTTCTAAAACACTATCCGTTCGAGAGATATTTGCACTTAAACTTTTAAATATCGCCAGTGAGTCCAGATCTAACCTCCGACACACAGATATTCACACTGAAAGTTTTTACACCACCAATGTACCTATATGTTCCGTCAAGAAGTTTCAATCATTAAATCCTTCTGAATGGTAGTGTAATGAAGGGTCAATTGAATTGATTTGTACAAACTATCCTTACCCGCTCGACTACTTTGACCGTGTGACCGAGGGGGGGGGGGGTAATTTTACAAAAGGAACTCTTTCTGCCCCGACCCCTTATCAAAAGAGGAGATTGGAGGAGGGGGGGGACGTAGTTTTATCCTTCATGGTACTCTAATGGAAGATCTCAACGACAGAAAGGAATTAATTTCTACACACCATAGTCCTTCTCTTCGACCCCTTACAGTAATCGGAAATAATTCCTTATATCTCGAGGCACATCTATTGGTGATTTCGAAGGGAATATCTTGAAAACGAAGTGTCGGAAGAGGGCACTCATCAAGGGCAAGCGGAACGTCAGGACGAGACATATCTACTGATGATTTCAAAACTTAATTGTGAATATCTCGAAAATGTTAGAGGAAGGTACTTAAGGGAAATTGCACTAATGTTTGTGTGGAAAGAGCCCCCTCCTCATTAATCATCTACCAAGAAAGTAAACATCGATAAATATAGCATGTTACTATCTTAGAACCCAACCATTTACTAAGCTATTTCGGTTTAAAAAAATGCGCTTTATCTGCACAAGAGTTGTGCACATTCTATAGTGATTAGAAATGCACTAAGAACCTTCGAGTTAGAATTGTCTGTTGCCCGAAAGCGGAAAACGCTTGGCATTCGTAACGTAACCCGTTACAGGCGTTAATATTTCACTTCTTCACTTTATGCAACTCCATCTTTGTGTTTATGGGAACTATGAACTTGTCTAAATTAGCAAATATAAGGGACTTTCTTCTGCGGCTGCACTACAATGTTGGAACTAAAAAGATAATTGCACATAGGTTATAGAAATATCAAACAATGTAACTTCTTAGCGCTTTATTGAATTAAAAACTCCAATAACTTAATTAGCGCGATTATCACACAATATACAACAGTGTGATGAACTTCGATAGTTCGCACGCAGTTAAACGAAAAACAAAATAACAAGCAAGAAAGCACCGCCCCCCCCCCATAGTTAACGGAAAAAATGGCAAACATTTACCTTTAACGGAACGGTGGAAAAAAAGCTAACGTGGCTTGCAAACTTCCAATCCATAATGTAGATAACGTACGGTTGCCAAAGTAAATTTACGGAAAAGCTAAAAAACGGTACTTACGAACAGAACTGCGGAAAGATCTTACGTTAAAACACCCAAAACCAAAAAAGAGCGCCTCGAAATTAAGCGTTTACCTTTTATAAGGTTATTTATATATGGAGGGATCGACGGTTTTTTAGCCGACACGGTGTATTAATTACATCCGTCCGGAAATTCTGGAATTGGTCTTAACATTTAAACTAATAAAGACAGCTTCTTTTGAGACCCCTCACGATTTAATCGGAGGCTGTTGGCTGCATCTCATTTAATCAACTACCTTTAATTATTATACTCACTTCAATGGCAAAAATTAAACTCCAAAATTAGACAGTCCAATGGTTTCTTATCTAACCGATGGCGGCGTAAACCTGCATGGCCTTGCAGCTTTAATGCTCCTTTTAAATTTAACATAGGAAACTAAAACAACGCGACCAAGATTCTAAAGTATTAATTCTCTCTCGTCTTTTAAATGACAAAAGCTTTCGGGCGGAACAAGTACTTTCGGCACGACCCTTTTCATAACGAAGCGCCCAACTTAAAACGGTTCTAGATACCGGGTGTTCATCTACAGAGTGATCATAGAAGGTATGTAAGCTTCAAGGGGGAAAATAGATGCTTCATTACAACAGCAATAATTAACACAAAAAAGCAGTACCTAGGGGTCGCCGTGCTTCAAATCCCACAGCTAGCTTCTGCTACAGCAGAACAATTGGCATTTAAGAATATTTTCTTCGTATCTAATTTTCGTATAAACATTCATTTAGAACCAGACAAATTTTCTAAATGTTTGATCTTATTTCATTGATAAAATCCTTAGAATACAACGAAAAACAGTAATTCACTTCGACGAATGTTTCCATCTCTACCAAAACTTCTATAAAAGAATGGGAACCCCTCTCCGCATTTTTGTTTCATCCCCAATTAATTTTCGGAAATTTTTCTGAAACAAATTCAATGTTTCTTTGAAGTTGTACATCCATATATCCTCATAATAAGAGAAGATGCTTTAATCATTTTTGTGTAATTGAAGTAGATGTAACAAGTGGGCGAAATTGCCAACCTAGAAAGTACTACAATTAATCGCGGTAATCCATTTCTCCACTTCTTGGCTCATTAAAATAAATCAAACGATCTCGGTAAATGTGTAGCCGTTCCCGGCTATATTACCTACTAATGAAAACGACGTTGGACTAGAATCATATTTTGGCACGATTCCACACATCACTACTATTGAACAAAAATGTATTTCTACAACCCAAAAAGAGCATTCTCCAATAAAAGCTTTCAATGTGTTTTCCTTTTACTAAAAGCATGTGTATTAACGTGAAAAGCTTTTGTTCGGAGCAGTTTTTTTTTCCTAAAATGGAAGCTTTTTAGAGTCCTGACAGAATTATGACTATTGATTACGTTTTTCAGCGCTTGGGGATTTTTCATAGTATGTCGATGAAGTGGTGTTACTATGACGACGCCGCCCCAATGCTATACCGCCACCGCCGCCACAACCACACCCAGAAATATTCATCGACATATTTGTGATATTATATATTTTATAAACATATCCCTACCGCCTATACGCGAAAGCCTCTCGAGAAAAGGTTTCCTTTGAGTTTACGCAGAGTATTAATTGGAAGCGTGAAAATATTGCTTAAAAGATTAATTTATTCGCAAATATTAACTTAGGAAAACTTTATTACGGTTGTAAAATTAATTCTGCCCTAACTAAAAGTAAATTAGTTTGTTTCAAAATGTTAACTAAAAGTTTGCTGACAAACACGCCTTTAATTTATATTATAGTCGGGGAAAGTCAGTTAGGAAGTTTATAATTTGTTTAACAATGATTTTATGTAGCGTTGTTAAAGATATCTCATTCGAAGAAATGTCGGGGCACCACGCCGAGTCCGTCGGGGGAGTGTCACAGAATTTTGCGCCGACGCCGGGCGTCCCGTGACGTCACATTTTGATAATCAAGACTGATATTCAATAATGGCGTCGTTCGCCATGCCGTAGAGGGGTTGCTTTCTTATTCCAGTGAATCTCAGGGTCCGGGGTGAAACACTTAGTGAAATTAAACGAACTCGGCGAACTTAGTAATTGAGAATATATACTCGCCAGAATCCGTGCATTCGATTTATAATGCACTTCGCAAAGTATGTTAAACATTTCTTTCTAAAACAATTAGATAATGCACTTCCATGCGTAATTGTCGCGCGTAAAATATAATACAAAGATGTCAATAATTTGCTTCGATTGTTCTAATGAAAGTGAGGGCGAACTCGTTTCATACTTTACTAGGGAAACTCTAACGTCAATAAGTTGAAATTAATGATATATGTAGCCTTAAATTGTACAAATCGGCGCGTGTGTATATGCGGTGAAAATGTCATTATTAGAACAATCTAGAGCTTTAACTCACGTGCAAGGACTTACATCTGCTGGCAGTCAGATTATGGCGCCCCATCCCCTCGAAGGACCACCAAATCCTGACGTTCTCCTGGCGTTGCTGGCTAGAAACAAAGCGTTAGAAGGTACGTACTCCATTAGGAAACCATATTTCACTAACTTTCAACTGATTGTAAATGTGCATCTTTTGCACTAGGAAACCGCGAAAAGACTACTTGGAGTTGACTCCGAGAGTGACTTTTATAGCAAGTCGAGAGCCAGACCACTCTAATGCACTTAGTGGCGGTTTCAGCCGCTAACATCATTTGCAATAATTCTGATACTTTGTCTTTATAAAGTGAGGACAAATCTAGTTAGCTCGGCAAATCCAACAGAATGATGTGAAGCCTCAAATAAGGTAATATGTAGACGCGCATTTATCATCGACCAATAGAGTGCGCGTTGAAATTTGTTGAATATTTGCGAATTAACTTGTTGAGGTGCATTTTAATTGTTCAATCAATTCATCTGTTAGCGTTCCGTTACAATGTCTTCAAGGCATTCTTTCGACATCACGAATGAGGAATCACTCGCATATTTCCACGTTAATGTTTCCAATTTTTCAAGAGGAATACCATGAATTGATTATTATCTCCAGCATTAACAATGGGCGAACTGTACATTGTTTCAGCTTTGGGACATTGCAATTTAAAATCACAGCAAAATCCCCGACGGTTCATTTAGTCTTTATTTTCCAGCACTATCCACTATATAAAACCAAATTCATCTTGCATGGTTCTCTGTATTCCCTTTTGTCACCTTTATTTACATACTGTGGCAAATCCATGGAGAAGAGCTTATGAATTTTATGCGAAACCCGATAACTTGCTTTTTCTTTCTGGGAACACTATAATTTTCATTCTTTTAACAAATATTGGGCTTTGGCATTACTTCCACGACCATTTGTGCCTGTCAGTCTGACTTAGTATGTGCCAATGCATATGAAAATATAAAATGATCCCCTCCTAAAGGGGACCAGAAACGATTCCGTATGTCGCATATGTTTTTCGGACTTCATTCAACACCTTTATGCAAACTTTAGGTTAATGTTGTAACAGGTGGTCGCCTAGCCGGTTTCAAAAAATTGGTTTTGAGTTTGTATTTTTAGTAAACAGGGAAATATACACATGTACCGCTTCATGGCGAACCTGAACAAAAGTATTTCATTTTAAGATAAGCATTGGTTAGGCCTTGTGTGCGGGGATTTTAGGCAACAGACGAGGTTAACCTTTCAAACAGTTCGCACGTATTATTTCGGTGTAAGAATTTTATTATTTCGCATAATAATAGATAATTTCTCGAGCGATTAAGTACTACCTATCTTAGGTAGGTTAAATTGTTGTTTGAAAAAATTTATCAAGTAGCAAAAAGTGTTTTGACATTCATCCGGAAGATAGTGTTACCGGGACAGTGCAAGAAGTTCAGCTGTACACTACAGGAGCGATCTTTTGTCTAAGGGCAAATATTTGTTATCAGAAAAGATTATTACCCACATCAATTACTGTAAGTTATTTTAACTTTTTTGATGCGTATAAAAGTAGTGGTCGATTATTTTTAGGAATTTGTATAAAAATGTGGTTTGAACTAGTTTTAATATTCCCAAAGAAACCGACCTAGGAGAATTATTTCCAGATGCAGATTTTGTACTGTTTTAATTGATAAGAAGCAAATCCAAGCAAAGGATTTTGGTTATTTTGTGTTATGGATTGCGAATTTTGCATTTAATTTCAGTAATACCGTTACTTTACAACAGAAGAATGTACCGGTAATTCATTATGCGGTAAAGATTGTATGTAGATAAGGATCAAATTTCGCATGGACGTGAGGTAGGGATTGCAATTTTTTTCTTTTTGTATTTCTTTTTATGAATCCAGCTAATATCTTACATCCAGAAGTCTGTAGAGGAACACAGAATTTGATAGTGTTTGCTATATTCAATCAATTAAGATCATATGCGTATTTAATGGAGTTCAACCAAACCATGGTATTAGATTTGGAATTTCAGCAAACTTCCGCAAGGTAATATTAGTATAAGAATTACTTAATTAATTATGTTTTCGCGGATGTCCTATTCTCTTCATTGTACCCCACGATGGCGCCGTTATGTTACAATATTATAACTGTTATATAGTTATACTGGTTTAATACAGTTCTAATGATGCACATTATCTAATAATTGTCATTTTGACGTCTGCAGGTGCTTTTGTAGCGCAGTCGAATTTTTCAGCTGTAAAATGTCAAGGTTCTGCAGTGTTCTCCGAAACAAATTTGCGTTTTGAATCGAGTAAAATCTTTGACTGTCCTTTAGGAATAGGAATACAAAAGACACCATTTTAAGTGATAACCTTGTAGGAGTTCAAAAGTTTACTAGGTAGTTAAGAGAGATATTCGCGTTTTGGCATTGAAGGCGACCAGTACGGTCCTCTAAAGGATTCGCGTGTTAACCGTTTGGGTGACCAGATAGTTGTTCTATCAAAAGTGACCGATTTAAGGTCCCGTATTCAAAAAGTTAAATCGCTTTGACCGGGAATCATAAGTTCGGAATTTTATGGAAGTTTAAAGTTCGCAAAGAAAGTAAGTGGTTTATTTGGTAGAAGCGCAAGAGTATAACCATCCAATATCGCAATAAAGTTTCAAGTGCGTAACGCGGTTTGGTTGAATTCGTGGCCCAATTAAACAAGTTGTAAATCAGCATATGCATGATGAAAGCGCATTTTTGGTAATGCAGATCAGTATTTTATTAGCAATGTTTAAAATTATCGATCTCAAGAGTAATCTAACTCAAAATAGACTAGAGCCTGCACATCTACACTATAACAGAAAGCTTTTAGTGAAAATTTAAAGTTTCTATCAATTGTATTTGCTGAGATCTCAGCCATACAGCCATCCAGCCAGCCAGCTATAACAAATATAATAGCGTATTTAAAAAAAAATGCGCCTAAACTTATAGGACGAGGGCATGTTTTAAATCAAAGAAGTTTTTCGAGTCGCGTTCAATTAGGCTGAAAAACTTGATCCGAACTTTGAGTTATGTTATGGTTGTTTGGTATGGTATATTTATAATTAACGATTCATGGCAACGGCGCCTCACCATGGGGAGCTCGGTGTCGCCGATTGCCTTACTATAGGACAGTTTGGATTCTTCGTGGTAATCCCTCACTATAGGAAAGCTCGGCTTAATATAGAACAGGTCGCAGTAGAATGAATTCTAATGCAAGTTCGCTGTCCGAGCCCTGTTCGACGGTCGGGATGATTTCTCGTAGTGCGTGGGGGAAAACGTGTTGATTTTACTGCTGATTGTGGTGTGATGCGTATCAGCTACCATATGTACCACGACAATGCGAATGTGAAGCAACATTCTTCCGATTACGAGATAAAAAAGAGCAATTATTTAGTTTCGAGCGAATTTACATTGCACTACTGTGAACGATTTTCGAATAAGAAGCTGCATATAAGCTCATTATATATTTCACAATAGAACACTTTTACGTTAATTAAAGTAAGTGTACGAAAAAGAAACTAAAACTTTCCATTTTCTTTAAAAAGTGGTACAACACGATAGCAACTCCCCAACGTTTCGCTATATTTAAAATTTTCCCCGGAGTCTTCAAATTCTAAGGAGATTTGGTACCAGTAGCCGTTTAGTCACTTTCGATCCAGTCGGCAATTGTAAGTAGTTATACGATCTTTCTTAAATTCTCTTCACATTGCCTTCATGCTTGTCCTATTTCTTTATCGTTAGTGTCTTTTTATCGAGTCTTCCTAAATGTTCCTTTGAGTTTTTCTCAAATTATTCCTAACTTTATTTTCCAATTCGCCTTTGTCTTTTCCCAAGTTTAACTCATGCTCCTATAAAATTCTTTACAATTTCTCTTCCTTCCAGATTTTTCTTGTCCCTCTAAAGTTCTTCTAAAATATTTCTCATGGTCACTTTAAGTTACTTTCCTAAATTTATTTAGTTGCTCTGCTCCCTTCAACAAATGTTTCTCATGTGCTTCAAGTGAAGTAATTACCTACCACCTTTACTACTCAAGTTTTTTCAAGTTCACTTCCAATACACTTTGTGTTTCTCTACACATTTTCTCAAAGGCCCCATAAGACTTTGCCGTTTCCATCAATTTCACTTTAAGTTCTCTTCAGTTTCGTTAAAATTCTTTGTTCCTCTGAAGTTGTTAGGGGTTACACCTGGCGTTCTACCCTTTTGTGTAATGATTTAATTTAAAAAAAAACAAAATTTTGGAAATGCGAAAATTATGTAACGGTTTAAGCGACGCTATTGGATTGATTTTTTTTCGATTCTCTGTGTGGACCAGCGGTTTCTGAATACAGCCCTGACTTTTTAAGTACGTGCAAAAGTTGGCTGTGCCAGTGAGTTGAGAGGTTGACGGGTGTTTAAGATTACAGGAAGATTTTCTTTGACTGCAGATGCGCGTTTTTGATTACCCTGAACTTCCGTGTACGTATAATATGGTATAGTATTTCATACGGGGACTTCAGTTCGCCGGACAGCGACGGCAATTATGTGGTAGGTTGGACTGCAAAATGCGGCTCGTGTACGGCCGCCCCAGGGGCCGCCCTAAGTCTGAGATTATTTTGCATTTCAGGTTTTAAAATAAATAGGTTATTTGCCTTAGGAGTTTGTAGCAGAGCATTCTGGTAAATTTAAGCTAGCCGTGGATACATTTTGGGCAAAAAAAACTAATATGAACGTAAATAGCCAAAAATTCAATAAAACGTTCCGGGATTTCCAGAAGGTTATTGAAATTTTGCATTGAATTTAATATTAAATAATAAACATCTTCCAGCTGGACTCAAAATATATTTTTTAAGATTATGAATTGTTTGTAAGGGGATAGTAACATTTTTAGTCAAGGGAGTGGTCACTTAATTAACTGTTTTGGTACAAATTTAGTACTGGATTTTGAAATAGAATTCACATTGTTTTTTTCTACTATGGAGGGACGTAATGAAGGCGACTGTGATTTAGTTTAATATACGTAAATATTTTGATTTTGTTAACTGAAATCAAGTGATACCGAGCGGAAGTGTAACGAGTTCAAAAATTGTCAAGTATACAGGAAAAAGTCCCCTTTCCTATAACATAATTGCACTCAACATTCGTAACATTGAGCTAGCCGTCGGCATACATTTTTGGAAAAATTGAACATTAAGCGAGAATCAATATTTTGTTACATAAATAGACAATCTCCCATTACCCGTTACAAGGTGAAGATACGTGATTACAGTAAAAGTCCTGACTACACAGTAACTGGGTAAGACGTCCAAAAGAAATGTTAAC